AGCTGATCTGACACCAGTAGCCAGGAGCCACTTCTGGGTCTTCTATAAGGGAGCAGAGGCTCAAAGATGTGGACCATCTTCCACTGTTTTCCCAGGCCATAGAGAGCTGGATCACAAGAGGAACAGCCGAGATACAAACTGGTGCCCATATGGGATACCAGTGCCACAGGCAGAGGCTTAGCCTACCGTGCCACAGCTCCAGAATGGTTGGTTTTGGGCCTTGCTTAGGCTGTGAGCTGGTAACTCAACCCAGGCATGGGTTTCAGGAACCCGGTCACTTGAGCCTTCCCCACTGCCTCCTAGGGTCTGCACTGGCGGGAGGGCTCCAGAGCTGGAGCCAAGTATTAAACCCAGACGCCGCAGTAGGGGATGTGGGCATCTGAACCAGGCTCTTCACCAGCAGGCCAAATGCTCAGGTTTCATTTGCATGAGTGTGTTTGTTAGTTGAGGGTACTGAGTTTTATCAAAGGCCTCTCTGGTGTCTGTGGAGATAAATATGTGCTGGAGCTGCACTGATCCAAAGCCAGGAGCCAGGTGCTTCCTCCCAGTCTCCCATGTGGGTGCAGGGCCCAAGCACTTGGGCCATCCTCCACTGCCTTCCCAGGCCACAGCAGAGAGCTGGACTGGAAGAGGAGCAGCCGGGACTAGAACCAGCACCCATATGGGATTGCCAGCACTGCAGGCGGAGGATTAACCTAGTGTGCTATGGTGCAGGCCCCTGTGCTTAAGTCTTACTACTTAACATCTGCATTTAAATTTTAAAATTTTGACCCATACCGTATTCCTACACCCTGCCACCTAAGCCAAAACCTGTTTTGTTTTGTTTTTGTTTTTGTTTTAAAAAGGGCCAGCACTCTGGCGCAGTGGGTTAGCGTCCTGGCCTGAAGCGCTGGCTTCCCATATAGGCGCTGGTTTGAGACTCGGCTGCTCCACTTCCTGTCCAGCTCTCTGCTATGGCCCAGGAAAGCAGTGGAAAATTGCCCGAGTCCTTGGGCCCCTGCACCAGCATGGGAGACTGGGAAGAAGCTCTTGGCTCCTGGCTTCGAATCGGCATAGCTCTAGCCGTTGCGGCCATCTGGGGAATGAATCATCAGATGGAAGACCTCTCTCTCTCTCTCTCTCTCTCTCTCTCTCTCTCTCTCTCTCTCTCTCTGCCTCTCCTCTCTCTCTGTAACTCTGACTTTCAAATAAATAAATAAATCTTAAAAAAAAAAGCAAAGAACTACCTAAAAATGTTAAAGTTTGGGGCTGGCACTGTGGCATAGCAGGTACAGAGGGATGATGTTCTATTTCTTTTTTAAGATTTATTTATTTATTTATTTATTTGAAAGGCAGAGTTACACAAAGAGAGAAGGAGAGGCGAGAGAGAGAGAGGTCTTTCTTCTGCTGGTTTATTCCCCAGATGGCTGCAATGGCTGGAGCTGCACTGATACCTAGCCAGGAGCTTCTTCCAGGTCTCCCACATGGGTGCAGGGGCCCAAAGGACTTGGACCATCTTCCACTGCTTTCCAAGGGTGTAACAGAGAGTTGGATCAGACCTGGAGCAGCCAGGACTTGAACCGGCACCCATAAGGGATGCCAGCACTGCAAGCGGCGGCTTTACTCGTTATGCCACAGCACCAGCCCCATCTTTTTTAAATTTTTAAGAAAGATTTATAGCCTGCACCATGGCTCACTAGGCTAATCCTCCAGCTGCGGCGCCGCCACCCTGGGTTCTAGTCCCGGTTGGGGCACCGGATTCTGTCCTGGTCACTCTCTTCCAGTGCAGCTCTCTTCTGTGGCCCAGGAAGGCAGTAGAGGATGACCCAAGTGCTTGGGCCCTGCACCTGCTTGGGAAACCAGGAGGATACACCTGGCTCCTGGCTTCGGATTGGCGCAGCGTGCCAGCCATGGTGGCCATTTGGGGGTGAACCAACGGAAAAAGGAAGACCTTTCTCTCTGTCTCTTTCTCTCACTGTCCAACTCTGCTTGTCCAAAAAAAAAAAAAGATTTATTTATTTATTTGAAAGGAAGAGTTACAGCAAGACAGAGAGAGAGGTCTTGCATCTGCTGGTTCACTCCCCAAATGGCTGCAGTGACTGAGGCTGGGCCAGGCTGAAGCCAGGAGCCAGGAACTTCTGGGTCTCATGTGTGTGCTGGGGTCCAAGAGTTGGACCATCCTCCACTGCTTTCGCAGGTGCATTAGCAGAGAGCTGGATCGGAAGTAGAGCAGCCAGGACTTGAGTTGGTGCCCCTAGGGGGTGCCAGCGCTGCAGGCCATGGCTTTAACCCACTGTGCCACAGCGCCAGCCCCTGTTCTTATTTTGTAAACCCCAGACTGATATAATGTCAATTTACCTCTATAAACTTCTGCACAGGGAGCAACTGAAAGTAGAGGAATAACATAATTAGATCTTATTTCGTAGGTAGATATTATTGTAGCAGTATAACTAGGAACTGGGACAGAAGAGAGAGAGAGACAGAGAGTGTCCAGGAGGCAGTTTGTTGGTGTAGTTGACACAGAGATCCCTTGTGGTTAAAATGAACCTGGTGAGGTTCCAGTCATCTGTGGTATTCACCAGCTGTCTGAGCTGAAGATCTTTGAGCATCAGTTTTATTTGTTTACTTGAGAGGCAGAGTTACAGACGGTGGGACAGACAGAGGTCTTCCATCTGCTAGGTCACTCCCCAAATGGCCTCAGTGGCTGGAGCTGGGCAGATCCTCAGCCAGGAGCCAGGAGCCAGGAGCCAGGAGCTAGGAGCTTTCTCCGGGTCTCCCATGTGGATACAGGGTTCCAGGGACTTGGGCTGTCCTCTACTTCTTTCCCAGGCCATCAGCAGGGAGCTGCATGGGAAGTGTTGTAGCTGGGACTTGAACCAATGCCCGTGTGGGATGCCAGCACTGCAGGTGGCTGCTTAACCTACTATGCCCCAGTGCCCGCCCCCTGAGCATCAGTTTTTACGCATGTGAAATAGGGACAACGTTACCTGCTATGCAGGATGGTTGTGAGAATTTAACATATTAGTCAATGTGTGTTCCCTTTCTCTCATTTTAGACAGTTGAGAGCCTGTTTTGGTCATTTACACTGAAGGTGATCATGATAATTCAGAAGAAGTTAACAGGTTTTTTTTGTTTTGTTTTGTTTTTTTTTTTTTGTTTTGTTTTTTTTTTTTTTTTGACAGGCAGAGTGGACAGTGAGAGAGAGAGACAGAGAGAAAGGTCTTCCTTTGCCGTTGGTTCACCCTCCAATGGCCGCCGCGGCCAGCGCGCTGCGGCCGGCGCACTGCGCTGATCCGATGGCAGGAGCCAGGAACCAGGTGCTTTTCCTGGTCTCCCATGGGGTGCAGGGCCCAAGCACCTGGGCCATCCTCCACTGCACTCCCTGGCCACAGCAGAGGGCTGGCCTGGAAGAGGGGCAACCGGGACAGAATCCGGCGCCCCGACCGGGACTAGAACCTAGGGTGCCGGCGCCGCTAGGCGGAGGATTAGCCTAGTGAGCCGCGGCGCCGGCCGAAGTTAACAGTTTTAATTACTGGTGGTGGTGGTGGCAGCGGATGGCACAGGAGGCACACTGCAGCTTTATTTTAATGAAGGACTGAAATCCACTGGGCAGAGTGGGGGTGGCTGGGGAGTGAGGGTGAGGGAAGAACAGGAGCTTGCAGTCGGGGTGGAGGGGCGTGCCTGGGAGAACAGCCTGCCTTGACAGGGGCCGGTGGCGGCCAGGGGCTGGGAAGAGTGCGGCTCAGCAGTCAGACACTGACCTCAGAGAGGGCTGGGTTGAGTGATCTGTATTGAGCAGCGTCGTGCTGTTGGATTTAGATGCATCCTAGCTGATTGCTCCTGATTGGGTAAGAGGTACTGAAGACGTGAAGGGTACAGTCTGGGTAAGGAGAATAAAATACCAGAAAAACAGTTGGTGTTTTGGTTCCTTGTCACTGTCATGATGGTAGATTTCAGATACATCCTAGCTGATTGCTCCTGATTGGGTAAGAGGTACTGAAGACGTGAAGGGTACAGTCTGGGAAAGAGAATAAAACACCAGAAATACAGTTGGTGTTGTGGTTCCTCGTCACTGTCAAGATGGTGTCCATTTTTCAGGCCCATAGTGTATTAGTAGCTTTTCTTAAGGATTACTCCTGCACATCTCATTCTCTAGCCATAGTGAACTGTTTTCCCTGAAGTTGATATTTATGCTCCCCTCCACTTCTTTATCTGAAGGCAGTTCCCTTTGCCACCTTCGGTACATCCTTCAGGTTCAGACTCTTTTAGTCAGTCCCTTACGTACCAGGTAATATTAATGAATGTTTGCTGTGTGCTGTGTATTCAGCATCCATGGGAGTTCTTGCTCACAGCTGTTTCCTTCTTGGACTGAATCTCGGCGTCTCTCTTGGTGCTTCTGTTATGTTCTGGTCACAGTTCTGTGCTAAGCCTCGCCCACTCAGTCACTGCTGGCTTACGGATTTCCTCTACCAATCTGCAAGGCCTTTGAGGTCAGGCAGTGTATCCTTTTCCACACTGCTTGGTCTTAGTACGGTGCCCAGTAAATGAACGCTTGTCGACTAAACCAGTAAATTAAAAGTGAGTAAATTTCAGGATCTGGCGATGGCAGTGAATATATAAAGGAAAAACATGTATCTTTGAATGTTATTGGCAATAAATATATAAAGGAACAACGTGTATCATTGAGCATTGTTTCAGAAGTCGTGCCAGAGTGCCATGTGGGAGAATGTGTGCTGGTGTGTGGCCTGTGGAGAATGGAGGGTCTCTGACATGGAAGGCCTTGTGTGCTATGTTTTGAACTTCTGACTTTCTTTTTTGCTTTATTGAAAACAAAGATTTGTGACTTTATCAATTTAGCATGAATAAGACTGACAACATCCACAATAAAATTAGCAATAATAAACGTACTGAAATGATCAGGATTAGTATTCTTTATGCTCTTGCATCATCTCTAGATAAATACTTTTCTGTCTCATACTAAACTTTATTATTTATATCAACCAATTTTATTTTTCTTCTAGTGCCTATGTTGAAAAATACCTACTGGAGAAGTCCAGACTCGTTTACCAAGAGCATAATGAACGGTACATGTTTTTATTCATATAATTTTATACACTTATCATGCAGATTTACATGTAGGCTCTTTGTATATTTTTAAGATTTCAGATTTTTAATTTGGTTTGCAACATACTTTGCTTTATGCATCATTGCTGTTTCTTCTGTGGGTAGAACATGTTCTCAGAGGCTGCCAAGGTGCAGGTTGCCCGGTTTTAGATGGGTGCCCGTTGTCAGAACTCAGGTGGCCCCTTGTTGCTGAGCAGCGTGCCTTGGATCTTTCATCCCTTTCTTGGTGTTCTTCGTCTAACTTGAGGACAGCTGGCAATAAAACTTAATCCATTGTGTTACCCAGGGGTGTGGGACTTTGGTTAAGATCCTTGTAATATTCCCACGTGTGTGGCTGGGGCCCAAGCACTTGGGCCATGCTTCACTGCTTTCCCAGGAGCATTAGCAGGAAACTGAATGGAAAACAGATCAGCTAGGACTTGAACAACTGTGCCTGTATGGGGCGCCATGGTCACAGGCAGCAGTTTAACCCACTGTGCCACAGTGCTGGTCCCTGATATTTTCTTTTTCTTTTCTTATGAAGTAATATCACCCAAAAATCAACTGATAGTTGGTAATAGTAGAGAAATTTGGAGTTTGGTTGTCTGGATATTTTTGTAATTAGTAGATATAATATAGTCTTGTCCCAATATTAGCATTGATAGGATATGGGATTTTCCATTTATACAAGTGCCAGTTGTATACTGAAACTGGGGTGTATGGGTTGGGCAGAGTCTGAATGTTGGGTCAGGGCTGTCACGCAATAGGTTAAGCTGCTGTCTGTGATGCCGGCATCCCACGTGGGTACCGGTTCCAGTCCTGGCTGCTCCTCTCCTGACTCAGCTCCCTGCTAACGTGCCTGGGAAAGCAGTGGAAGATGGCCCAAGTCCTTGGGCACTTGTACCCACGTGAGAGACCTGGAAGAAGTTCCTGGCTCCTGACTTTGGATTGGCCCAGCTCTGGCCATTGCAGTCATTTGGGGAATGAACCAGCGATGGAAGACCTCTCTCTCTCTTTTACTCTGATTTCCTTTCTCTCTCTCTCTATAACTAACTAAAAAAATAAGTCTTTAAAAAAACAGAATCTGAATGTTAACTGTTGTTTCTTGTTTCATGTTGCTATGCTTAATAACATTTTTTGCATAACAGCCGTGCTAACTGAAGTTTAGTAACCATCACCTCACCTAACTAATCTGCCTTACTTTCAGATAACAAAGAAACCCCTCAGACAGAGCTGGGATGATTATTGCTATGACTCTGAGCCAGTCAGTACAAGAACTTAAATACTCTGTGTTCCTGTTAGTGGGCCCTCACGCTGCTCATTTGTGTCTCTCTTATGACTTAGAATGAAAATCACTGAAATACAAAGACTTCTAGAAAAGAAGATAAAGCAGTGTTTAATTTTTTTCTGTGATTTGTATGTGTGTGGTTTGTGGACTAAAAACCAATCCACTTGGGGACAGTGTTGTGCTCAGGGGGTTTAGCTGCCACTTGTTATGCCAGTGTCTCACATCAGAGTGCTGTTCCAGTCCTGACTGTTCCACTTCTGATCCAGTTCCCAGCTAATGTGCCTGGGGAAGCAGAGGATGATGGTCCAAGTACTTGGGCCCCTGCACCAATGTGGCAGACCTGCAAGAAGCTCCTGGCTCCTGGTTTCAGCCTGTTGGAGCCATCTGGGGAGTGAACCAGCAAATGGAAGATCTCTATCTAACTTTGCCTCTCCTTCTCTGTAACTCTGCCTTTCAAACAAATAAATAAATCTTAAAAGAGAAAAACACACTGGGGCTGGCATTGTGGTGTAGCAGGTTAAGCCACCTCATGTCACGGCGGCATCCCATATGGCTACTTGTTCAAGTCCTGACTGCTCCACTTCCAATCCAGCTCCCTGCTAATGTGCCGGGGAAAGCAGAGGATGATGGCCCAAGTGGGAGACCTAGAAGAAACTCTAGGCTCCTAGCTTTGGACGGGCTGAGCTCCAGTTGTTGCTGCCATTTGGGGAGTGAACCAGCAGGTGGAACATATCTCTCTCTCTCTCTCTCTCTCTCTGTATAACTGTGCCTTTCAAATAAATGAATAAATCTTAAAGAAAACCAAAAAACAAAAACACATTTTTCCTTTAGCATTCAGAGAAGGTTACAGGTAGAAGGCTGAATATGCACAGATACCTATACTTAGTAATTAACTAATGAATTAATCATTAGGTATTCTTTCTGGAAACATTATGTGTCTTCATTCCTGCTTTAACAAACTCTTTTTAATTTCCACTACCTGTGATTTTAAACTGCACTAATTGCAAATCTAGCCTATTTGATTTTAGAAGGAATGAGATCTGTGTATGTTTTTCTTATAAAACAAAGTTTAGTTGAATTATCTTTTCATAATAAATCAAGTGTTTTTTGGTTTCAGAATTAAAATTTTGGAAAATAGGCATTTCAATTGATGCCAATACTTTTCTCCAGCTTTATTTATGTATTTAAAAGGCAGAATTACAGGGAGACAGAGAGAAAGATTTTCCATGTAGTGGTTCATTTCCCAAATGGCTATAAAGACTGGAGCTTGGCAAGGCCAGAGGTAGGAGCCAGGAACTCCATTTGCGTCACCGATGTTTTGGGTAGCCTGGGCCCAAGCACTTGGGCCATCTTCCACTGCTTTCCCAGGCACATTAGCAGGGAACTGGATCAGAAATGGAGTAGCCAGGATTTGAACCAGTGCTCATATGGGGTGCTGTCATCTTAGGCAGTGGCCCCTCTGGTACATTTTAATAGACGAGTTGTAGCCATTCTGCCATTCTGCAAAGCTCATCTTTTACTTTCTGCACCAGGTGATGGGTGGAGAGCAGGTGGACATTGTGAATTTACAATATACATGGAAGAATTAGTGTTCTATGGGGTACTCTTTCTACTATGTTCCCTGACAGATTAAGTTTGTTTCTTTATGATTTTTTTTTTTGGTTAAGTGTCTAGCATTGCAGGCAGAGAGGAATATTCTGCTGTTGGTGCTGCATTACTTATGTATTTTATAGAATATTGTAGGCCGGCGCCGCGGCTCACTAGGCTAATCCTCCGCCTAGCGGCGCCGGCACACCAGATTCTAGTCCCGGTCGGGGCGCCGGATTCTGTCCCGGTTGCCCCTCTTCCAGGCCAGCCCTCTGCTGTGGCCCGGGAGTGCAGTGGAGGATGGCCCAGGTGCTTGGGCCCTGCACCCCATGGGAGACCAGGAAAAGCACCTGGCTCCTGGCTCCTGCCATCGGATCAGCGCGGTGCGCCGGCCACATCGCGCTGGCCGCGGCGGCCATTGGAGGGTGAACCAACGGCAAAGGAAGACCTTTCTCTCTGTCTCTCTCTCTCACTGTCCACTCTGCCTGTCAAAAATAAATAAATAAATAAATAAATAAATAAAATAAAAAAAAATATAGAATATTGTAAAGGTCCCGGGGGACCTATAGTGAAAAATTTGCTTTCTATACGGAACCTGTTGTTGCCCATTGTATGGAGACTTAATTCCCTTTAAGCTGCAGCGTGGGATGGGAGACAGTAGTGGGTTGGCCAGTCCTGTTGCCTACAGGGTTTTTGGCCATGAGCTCATTTTCTAACCCCTGAAATTGTTTTTATGCCTATACAGGAATATATAATGTCCTCTTTGTGTTTTGAGAATTTAATGAGGTTATACATATCAAGTGACCCTCATGGTGACTGATGCATAAAAGATATTCACTAAATATCAGTCTTCTATCTTCAAGTAGTGATAATTCTGACAATGAATTGAATACTGATGTAATATATTGGCTGTTGTCTGCTATTATTGTACCTTAAAGCTGGTGTGACTACCATCAGGGTATAAAGTTTGTCTCTCTCATTCTCTGTTTATCTGAACCAAGCCTTGAATTGCAGGGTGCAGCTGTCAAGTAGGGCTTTGATGGTCATTGTTACAGTAAGCGGTAGTCCTACAGCCCTGCGTGTCTGTGCTGCACAGGGAGTTGAGCCATACTCCAGCCTTGGTCACTGCTACCTGTATAGGGATGCAGGCGTGTATGTTTTCCCGTGAGGTAGGCCTGCTACAGTCAAGCAGAATCTCTTGAAACAATTCACTGTGTTCTGATATTTCTGTAGCACGAAGATTCCTGCTTCCACACGCTCTGCGTTTGTAAGTTTGTGATCACTCTTTCAGACAGTGTCTTTCTGGCTTTATTCCTCACTCTCTGCAGGTCCACTATGAGGCCTCTGCATGCTGCACACCATTCTCTAGTTAAAAATATGCTACTTATTTGTTTACTTTTTAAAAAATATTTGTTTATTTCAAAGAGAGATTGACAGGCAAAGGCTGAGAGAGAGGAGAGAGAGGGAATGAGGGAGGGAGAGAGAGAGAGAGAGAAAGAGAGAGGTGACCGTCCACGGCCAGGGCCATGCCACTGTTGCCTGCAGCAGGGCCCCCTCTCTTCCCTTGTAGACTTGGAATGGGTGTGATTTATGACTGTGCTCATCCATGTGGTCCCCGGTTGTACACACTGCTGCTACGAGGCTGCGGAAGTGAATAATGAATGAATCACCACACCTCGGGTTCAGCAGCATGCAGATTGTTTCAGATCTTTATGGTCTGGTACAAGCCAAGTCCAACTCCTCAATTTACACCCTTCATTCATTTGTATTAGCACAGTTGTGCCAGAGGCTGAACTGTAGCCTCCCCTCCTCCCCCAGCCACTCCTTCCTCGTGACGGTGAATGCTGGAGACTCCTGGATGCTCAGAGAAGCCACTCTGTCAGAGGCAGCTCCCTGGGGTGTCCCTTTTCCCCAGCGGCACAGTTATGGTATTACTCAGCATCCAAAATAATGCTGAACCCCTGATGGCAACCAAGTGCCTGGAGCGGGGGCACTGGAAACGTTTGCTCGTGCCAGCACAGAGAGGCTCGCCGGATGGGCTGCCCTGGGCCCTCTCTTCCTCTGCTCCAGTTCTGTGACTCTGGGAGAATTGGCTTTTCCTGGGTCTCACAGCCTGTGGGATCTGAGGGATGCAATAGGGCACATTCTTCTTCAGGTTCACTGGGAAGCCATGGGAGATGAAGCCTGCATGTGAGGCTCTGGGCCTTCCCCACGTTACTTCACCTTCTGGAAATCATAGACAGCAACAGGTACCTCTCATGAAATGCTTGGGTTTGAGAAGCAGGTGGAGCTTGGGGCTCTGGCTGGAGGAAGGCTGACCTCAGCTTCATCAGGGTGGTCTTCAAGAAGGGGGCAGGTCTCGTTGGCACACACATTCTCCCAGACCCAGCCCTGGCCTACAGCACATCCCTGGCCTGCCTCCCAAAGGGACCCCTGCAGCCTGAGCCTCCCTTTCTTGGGGCTTTGTCCACTGTGCGCTGTTCTCCTGCACCTGACTTTCTCCCTGCCGAGACACCTTCCCCCAACCCCGTTCCACTGCCCCAGCTTCCTAGACCACAGCTTCACTCACCAGGACTGAATACACTGTCAGTTGTTTCCTGTCCACTCCCACCCGGCCGTGAGCTCCCCAGGGCAGGACCCTCTCTGACTGCTGTCTGTGGTCAGCACACAGCAACAGCACAGTACACACAGGAAGTGCTCAACAAACACGCTGTGAGGGAGTGAGTGCATCATGAAAGAGACCCCCCCCCCCAGAGTTAGACAGTGAGAGAGCTTCCTTCCGTTGGTTCACCCCCCAAATGGCTGCTACGGCTGGTGCTGCGCCGATCCGAAGGCAGGAGCCAGGTGCTTCCTCCTGGGAAAGAGACCCTTTTTAAAACACATTTATTTAGAAGGCAGAGCAACAGACAAAGGGACCTCACATACTGGCTCAGTCCCCAAATGGCCACCGAAACCAGGAGCCAGGAGCTTCATCCTGGTCTCCCGTATGGGTGGCGGGGGTCCAAGTATTTGGGCCATCTTTGCTGCCTTCCAGGCGTATTAACAGGAAGCCAGATTGGAAGCAGAGGAGCTGGGACTTGAACCAGCACTCCCCTATGGAGTGCTGGTGTTGCAAGCGGTGCCTTAAGCAGCTGGGCCCCAACACTGACCCTTTTGTCTTCTGGTCTAGCAGATGTATTGACAGGAGACCTGTGGTCAGCAAGCCTAGGAGTGACCACTGGTGATGTCCATCCTGATCTCCTGAAGACCCTGGGGCGGGAGGCAGAGAGGGAGGGGGCTGGCAGTGGCGACTTCATTGTGCAACCTGGGCTTACGTAACCAACTGCTGGACAAGAACCACACTCCAAGGGCAGCACCCCCACCGTGATTTAAGGCCCTTCCCGCAGGCC